CGACAGAGTACCGCTCCGGAGACCGGATTTCGCCGACGGCAGCCGACATTGAGTGGCTGAAGGATCAGATCTCTCGAAACGGACTTCATATGCAAGACAATGTGTTGAGAAAAGGGATTAATCCCCGCACTAGAGCTCAGCAACTTCAAGATCTCATCCAGTGAGTCTTAGTTTTATGGATTGTAGATTTTTTTTTTTTTTTAATAATTTGTCATTTAATTATGAATTAATTAGTTCCGGTTTTCTTGGATTTCAAGAAATTAAAACAGTATATATTTTTTTTCTTTTAATAAGTAAATAAATGCTTAATTTAAACGCTTTATATTTCAGTTTAGTGTAATAGAAGTTTTCTGTATGCCTATTTAGGGATTTGATCCGATAACATAGCAATTATTAATGTAGTCCTTTTGTTATGATTGTGATCTGATTTGTGTGATTTGTTTCAGATTCAAAGGCATATCACATTATGAAGAGCCTGAAGCGAACAACCACACAGCCCTCCCATGCCCCGGTGAGCTCCTTGTGGAGGAGCATCACAGCAACTATGGGGAGCCCTGGGCAGGTGGTCGAGATGTGTTTGAGTTCCTTGCTGAGGCTAGTCACTTGGCGCCCAATTCACGTGTCCTTGAGATTGGGTGTGGTACGCTTCGTGTAGGCCTGCATTTTATTCGGTATCTAAGTCCTGAACACTTTCATTGCCTTGAGCGAGATGAGCTCTCATTAATGGCTGCATTCAGATATGAACTTCCTGCTCAAGGTCTTTTAAATAAGCGCCCTTTGATTGTGCGAGGCGAGGATATGGATCTTACGCAGTTTGGTTCCAGAGTTGTGTACGATTTGATATATGCCAGTGCTGTGTTTCTTCATATGCCTGATAAACTTGTGTGGGTTGGACTGGAGAGATTAGCTAATAAGTTGAAACCTTATGATGGGCGAATCTTTGTGTCACATAATATAAAGTTTTGTTCACGTTTAGGAGGGGAGGAGTGTACCAAGAGGCTCACAAGCTTGGGACTTGAATATATTGGGAAGCATACACATGATAGCTTGCTTTTTAATCACTATGAGATCTGGTTTGAGTTTAGGCGGTCCAAGGCTTAGGATTTCTTCAGCATTGTCTTTTTGGGTTTAATTCTTTGTAAAACTGAATTAACAGGTGAAGTTATAGCTTATGATTGACCTCTCTACAATTGTTGTGTTGTCTCTGGTAACTCCCCCAGTGTTTTGGAAGGTTAACTTATTAGCTGTTGATAGATGGGGTGTGGAAGAGTTGATGATTTCGCAGATTTTTATCAAAGTGGATCATCAGTTTGTGTTCAGCTCGGGGATATTCTTTGTACTTTTCAACGAAAAGGATCATGCATAACTCAGAACTTTCGGGATTCAGTACTGAATTGCTAAGATGGGAGAGGTTCATGTTATTTGTGACCGTCAAATTATGTAGTTTTGTATTCAAAATGCTGATAGCACAGCAGAAATTCTTTTGAGCAAACACTGATGAGTGTATGAAACTGTAACGTGAACGTATTTTTCATTGTACTTGGAGAAAACTTGAATATATTTTCTTGAATGGTCATGATAATTTTGGTTTTTGTGCATGAGCATTCCTATTTGTCCAGAAACCAGTTGAAGAGCTCTGGCATGACATGAGTGTGATGCTGAGAGGTTACTAGAATCAAAATTTTGTTATGTGCTACTGTTGTTATGTGCTACTGTTGTTATGTGCTACTGTTGACAGTTGTCTTGATATTTCCTTCATAGCGATTGGTTTAGGATGATATAAGATTAATACTGTAATTTTTGTTTAATGTTCAAGATTTCCTCGTTTAGTTATCAAGTAATAAAATATTACGTAATCTTTTATTGTAAATAGTGTTTATTGTTGGTAATATTGAGGGTAATCAGATTACTTTTCTAAGGAGTGTTAATATAAGATTACCGAGGTAATCTTAATTTTGACCTTATTTTGCCCTCAATCTTTTATCATTTCGGACACATTTGCCCTCATATGTTTACCAAATAACAATTATTCAAACCCCTTACATTTGAGAATTTAGTTAAAAAACATCCCCGCCACAAAAGAGTTTAAAAGCTAACAAAATACCTCCAGAAAGTTAACAAAATACCCCCAACCACCGAAGACCACCGTTGATCGCTAGCCACCACCGCTGGCTGTCGACGAAAGTCGTCATATTGGCACAAGATTGGTAGGATCTTGCCGATCGTGTGCCGATAAGGATGTTTCTTGCCATGGATTTGTGATCCATGGCCGGAAACGACCAGATCTGGCCGTTTCACGGCCAAAGATGTCGTCGTGAAACGCCATAGATCTGGCCATGAAAGGCCAAATCTTTGGCCGTGAAATGGCTTCCGTTTTGGCCGTGAAATGGCTTCCGTTTCACGGCCAAGGATCTAGCCTTTTCACAGCCAGATCTGTGGTCGCTTAATGGCCACATCTTTGGTCGTGAAACAGCCATATTCATAGCTAGATTTGGCCGTGAAACGACCATATTCATGACCAGATCTGGTCGGATTAGGCCTTATCGGCGCACGACCAGCCAGATCCGGCTGGTCGTGCACCATTACGATGGTTGAGGGTGAGTGGGAGTGATTTTGCTACAAATTAAAATTGTATATTGTTGGGGTGTTTTAGCAAAATTTCAAATATAAGGGGGTTAAAAGAAATAATTTAAAAAATAAAATAATAAAATAATATTATATTATTATTTAAAAAGGAGGGTAATTTAGTAATCTACATGACATACCCACTTATTTATCCTCTCAAGTCCCAACCAAACATATTATTATAACATATCCATCAATTTATTCCAACAGACCAAACACATTTCTCTAAAGATTCTCTAGTAATCTATCTTTGCAGTAATACAACATTCTTCAGTAATATAACATTCCCTTAACCAAAACACCCTCAATGATAACTTAATGCCCAGAACCTTAGACTTCAATAGCTGAACCCAAGGTTTTAAAACCCGACCTGGCCCGGCCTGTTCAACCTGTTGAATTGGGAACCGGTGGCCAAGCCGGGTTGGTTCAATTAAAAAACTGCTAATTGAAGTTAACGCAGTTTGAACTGCGGTTAGGCTGGATTTTTTGTGATGAAACGCTGGTCCAACCAGTTTTGGCACAAAACCGGGTTAACTTCATTCCTAAAAATTAAAACCAAAAAAAAAAAAAAAACAAAAAAAAACAATAAAAACAATNAATAGATAAGGTGTACATTTGACTGGTTAATTAATCAGCACCAAACACCTCTTAGTATTATTATATATTAATTAGTCTTGTGAAATCTTGAAACAGAAGTGCTGCCTCTTTTGACTCACCTGAACAAATCTTAAGAAAATCCCGTAATGTTGAGAGGGAAAGAAAACAATAATATTCAAATGAGGGCCTCACCCTCACCCCACAAAAGAAAAAGAGAAAGAGAAACCAATCATTTATAATTTATGTATTTGGGACTCTCTTTTATAATTTGGTGTTTCTTGAATCCTATATGAAGATCATATGTAGTGTAGTTCGAAAGCATTTTACTACTACTAAGTGCACCGCAGCCACTTGATAAATTGTAGAGGTCGAAGAGTTTACTGTTTAGACATGGATTTAGGCCACATGTAAGAACCCCCATAAGAGTCCACTTTATCTTTATGTCTGATATGGGATTACATATTTAAACCAACAGAGTTCAAAAATCAGATCTTCAATACAGGAGCTTTTTTTTTTTTTTTTTTTTTTCGTATAAAAGAAAACAGTTTACACATGCAGTTAACTTTTTCCATAAGTGATAGTCTATATTTTTTCTGGCTTTCCCATCTTTTTTTCCCAATAAATTCATATATAAAGCAGCAAAATCTTAGCTTTGAAGGTAGATGCTAGTTGCTACTTCCAGTCATATATATTTTGCAAATTAAATAAAGATGAATTTGCAATAGCGAATCAAAATGTCAAAAATTACTCAAACTTTCTACAACTACGTACGCTTTGCTCTGGTGGCAGTATTTGCATCCACGTCAAAATTGCTGTTCTTTTTGAACTCTTTTCCGCTTTGCTTTTACTGAGGCCTCGTGCATATATGTTGATGTAACAAAGTAAGGTTTATCCAATTCTGAGATTTTTCATAACCTCCTATCCAAAAGCATGTCTGTAGTGTCCTATCTTTCTATCTATTAAGTATAAGTCTACATTGATCAACTTATAATATGAATTTTAAATCATGAATCGTGAGGTTTAGGTGAATTGGCCCCAAAAGTTTAATTGCATGGTTCCCATTTCTGAAACATAATATATTTGCATGGCCCAGTATCAATTCTTCTTCGAACTGCTATGGATATATATCCATCACTGAGCTAACATTTAACATACAAGTCAAAGTGTGGCTACATGCAGATAATTAATATAAAGTTGGCAAACAAAGGAGAAAAGCTGCCCTTCCTTTATAGGTTATCAAATCAAAGATAGTTATAAATGACGCAAATCTTCATCGGCAAAGAGAGAGAAAGGAGAAAAGAAAGTGAGGAAAAACATAAATAATAGCAACAGTTATCCGACTGGTACTTTACACGACAGATAACATGTCAAAGGACAGTCTCAGATTTTGAAAGAAGTACACGTATAAACGTTTGTCTACTTTCTTCTAGACTCCATTTAGCTTTTTAATTCTCAGGCGCACATTGTTATGGATACATATACATCATCTTGATTATGCTAAAGAGATAACTTAAACGGTAATGCATTGTGAATTCAATGAACCATCAACCCGTACCAGCCACCATTACACTAACATATTTATAATTTTCATCTGAGTGCCTGAAATACAAAGGATCTTGCTGCTATTGATAATGGAAGAAGAAAAGTGAAGAATCCAAAATGCATGTAATATATACGATGGATTCAGTGTATCACTAAATGCCTTTTGCAAGTATTTTGCCAACTTTTTAAGTGTAGTATAAACAGCCAAGACTCTTAGTGGGCTACTAAATTAAGGGCATTATTGTTGAATTCCATACCTGAATGCAAATTAAGGGACTATGCATGAAACCTTTTTCATGCATATAATTGATTGTTTAACATTACTTTTCAACAGGCAGTGTAGACGTTCCACTTCTAAAAGTTTTGGAGTCACAAACAATTAATGTAATCCTGAGAAATCTTTCTTAGTTAGTAGTCTGCTAATAATTCCCTTAATTTGTCTGTTTCCAATAATATATTGTTTGACAATGAAGAAGATGCTGCATTATTTTAAGTTAATGGCTGAAAACTTTGCTATATATAATCATTAAGATATATAATATAGTCAGTATCTGATTACATATACAAAACATAGAGTTTGGAGTTATGTAATTGTCAGTTTTCTACTTTTTCGTGTATTATGATAATTTGATTATAGTGTGTTGCACGTTATCAAGTGATTCGTGTAAAATATAAAGCAGAGACACCCATCCATGAATGACGATGGAAAGTTATGAATGATACAATGTGATTAGCACATGAAAAGACTTAAACTTTCCCACATTGCAAACGTAGGTATTTTTCGCTTTTCCACAACACCATCATGTGTGCAACATGCTTTCTAATTATCAAACCAGATCCCCATCAACTTTGATCTGGGAACTTTTGTCCTCCTTCCATTAATTACATATTAGTTGGGCTAACAAAAAATTAAATACATTTTAGTTGGCCAAAACAAAACAAAAAAATACAAATGTCAGAAGTGGGATTTGAACCCACGCCCTCTTTCGAAGACCAGAACTTGAGTCTGGCGCCTTAGACCACTCGGCCATCCTGACTGGTTTGGTTTTGTGGCTTACATTTATATATATATATATACACATTAGTGAAAAGAGTAATAATAAAGTGGAGGGATGGCTGATGTGTATGTATGAGTACGATTATTAAGGGAGGAGAAAGAATTAGAAGATGGTGTGTAATAAGGACCCACAAATCAAGTGGCTTCCACGGCAGCATGTTAAGAGTGAGGTGGAAGAGCAATAGCATAAGCATCTCTTTGGGTAAGCTCTAAAGCAAAGTCGGTTCCTACCTTTTCTTTTTCAGCTTTAAAGGTTCCACCCCCATCCCCATCCCCATGTCTAATCTTCTTCTTCTTCTTCTTCTTCTCTTTAATGTTATGTATATCCCTCTGTTTAAGATTGGATAATTACATATCATTATCAACAATTAGATAAACAAACATGATTGACATATTGTCAAATACCATCTGCATAATCAGATTCAGGATAACAAAAAGGCTGTTGCATTATCACATTCAATTAAACCTTTATTACGTTACCTAGTCATTAATATGCAGCAGTCTCTGATGCTGATAATATGCTATCACCGACCCACCAACCTCCCTCTCCATCTAATCTATGTACCATTTAAATGGATCCTTGATTTTCTCTGTATAATTAAACTCTCACCAAATAAAAAACCAACACGTATACACAGTTATTGTAATGTAAAGAGGGTGAATTACGGGATCCAAATCATGAAATAATGTGATTTAAAATAGGATTATTTTGACTAATGAAAGTTATAATTAGGAATCCAATTCCACCGTTGTAGTCATCAAA